TTTTTTTGAAGGTTTTTTTTATAATATTTTATTAAAATAGCGTAATTTATATATATTTTTTAGATTAATTGTTTTTAGATCTAGTTAACACACTAATTTATAGTTATAATATTACTTAATATTATAAATTTTAATTATGATGTATTATTATATAATTAATTTTTTATTTAAAAGTCTAATCATAATATTATATTTTATTTATTTGTTTAATACTCTCTTTGGTTACATTTAATTATGTTAATCTGACTTTTTTTATCAAGTTTGATCAAATGATTTTATAACATAAATAGATGACAATTGTTATATTAAAATTTTTTTTCTTTTTATACATAACTTTTGTTTAGTATTTTTATTTAGATAAAAAAAATTTAATTATCATTAATTTATTATATTAAATTATCCAATTAATTTATATAAAATTAAAAGATTAAAATAATAAAAAAAACCAAAAGAAATAATATATTACAATTATAAGCTTATAACTTACACACCATTGTAATTATATATTCTGGTTTTGAGTTTATGTTTTAATTACAATTAGGGCCTGATATATCGGAATGATTCTTCTGTAAGTAGTGAATATTTAGTCTGTAATCATCATTTGGTTAGGGACAGTTTGACTGGTAGCTTTGGCGGCACAGAACCTTTTGGACCCAAGATTGGGCAGAGGCTCTATCTGCTCAAATATTTAGGAAATGAGAGACCATGAAACCTCCATGCAAATTCAGACAACTAGTTCATATTTTTCTGCATCACCTTGGCCACAAGAAGTTACATATAGAAGCATTTTTTAAAGTGTAGTCTTACACAGACTACATTTAATAATTGTTAGAAGAGACAGATTTCCTGATCATAAGAGCCCCACTATTAAAAGTTAAAAGTAATACAATGCAACATTCTCTTTTTCTCTTTTCATTTTCTTTCATCACTTTTTTTTTTTTCTATCTTGATAGTTGAATAATAAAATGAAGAACAAACAATGCACAAGGAAAATAAGAAAAGACAAACAGACTGTCTCTAACAGAAGGTACTCAGTCCATGCTACTACCATCAACAGTTGCACCATATTCATAGTCTAAGTTACACAAGGGAAACTCTCCCAAGGGGCATAAAATATCAATCGCTACCCAAACAAATTTGAATTGCACTTCAGTAAATATAGGACACCAAACCAGCATTCCAGGTAAAATGGTAGCGGTACTTTTTTTTTTTTTTTTTTTCCTTCTTTTTCTGTGACCAAAGTCCAGTCTACAATTCCATGTACTAACTAGCACTCTTTTTATCTTCAGACCCCAAGGGTTGCAAGAAATAAAGCAGGACAACGTCCGGCAGGATGATTGCCTGAATTCTTATATGTATTTTTTGTATAACCAGATAAGAATATTCACCAACATAACACCCAGCTGAGCCAAAACACCAATATGATCCAACCGATCCAAAACTAGGGCCCTGAACCGAGCATCACCAGAGACAACAACAATAGTTGATCCCTACTTCACAAAAACAAACAGAACAGCCCAGCACGATTTTTTATATTGGGAGCAAAGCTTAGATTTCAGCTTTATTCTCGATGAAGCCATTTACGTCTGGTCAAGAGCATAAAAAATTCTTCGTTCACCTCATTGATAAGATTACTTGCCATCCACACTACTGATTCAACTAAAGCTCTTTTGGACCAAAGAGATACCAGACAGTTACTGCTGACTGTGCCTCACTATGGACATGACCCAGTCCCTGGGCAGGAATGATCAGGAACATGAATTTTTTAGAATGATAACACAGAAGAAAAGAATAATAACAGTACAAACTAGGGAAACAGCATTGAAATTTATGCATCCAACAAAGCAAGTAAATCAATGCCAAAGCACCCAGAATAGTGTAATAGCATATCAACTAATATCACATGCTCTGGAAGGAAAATAAAGAAACAAATCAGATCAGGTACATCATCAACAGCTAGCAGCCAGCCCTCAGTGATCTAACATCACAGAGCATAACCTTATCCACTGTAATGTTAATTTACAATGTCATATGGTAATACTTTGACATCTGTTATGTTTGTTTATACACTCTAAAACAATGCTTATTCTGCTTTTCAGGTGTGTGGAAACAAAAGAATATTGGCTCCGGAAGCCAGTAAATGCAATCAAAGAGTCGCAGATATACATTTCTTATTGACATAGACAAGGAGTTAAAAGAAAATGATGTGGATCACAAAGTCATCTCCAAATTTGACCTATATTCAGATGACCCCAAAGTAATTATTGACTTTCTTCAATTTGGGTTGCTAGACATTAAAGAACAAAAGAATAATGGCTATGACTGTCAGATCATCAGGAATTTGAGTATCTTCTAGACCAATTACATATGATGGTCCTGTCTAGTCATCTTCTCATCCTGATTGCTTCTAATCAGTCTGATCAACTTACATGATGCGCATAATAAATATAATAATGCAAAATGTACATAAACATTATGGTGCATAAAAATCCTAGTGATCTTTTGGAATTAATAACAAGGTACCACAAAGTATTAGAAAGAGTATAACTCATGTAATCAAATGAATTGTGGGTATAATGTAGATGCCCAGGACCAAGTTGTTATTATTACTATTTCTGCTTATCTATTAAGCCTTTCAAATTTTTGTAATAAATGATTTGCTACAAAAGAATTTTTTTTTTTTTTTAGTAAAAAGACCCTCAGAGGTATTTTAACATGCAAAACAACGATACAGACAGCTGATTCAAGCCAAAAAACTTTCACCAGCTAAACCTAGTGTTGTAAAAAGCATGCCTAGGCGGCAGGCCCACCCCTCACCTAGCCATTTGGCAGTGTACGTGGGTGCTTGGCTCAGTTAGGGGTCCCTAATCCTTTTTTCATTTATTTTTCTATTTTTCTATTTTTTGGCTTTTTTGAAAATAAAAAATAAAGAAATGCCTAGGGGGCCCAGGAGCTACATGGTGGAGTAATGTGTCTCCACGAACTAGCTCTTTCTGCACCACTGGCTATATTAATGCCATTACAAATCCTAGCATTTGGCAACGCTCTTGTACATTTAGCTTGAATTTCCTGTTTAGTATTTACTGAAGAAACAGTTAAAATCTCATGCACTAGGGCTGAAGGAAACTAAAATGTGGAGAAGGCTTACAAGATTTAGGTAGATCTTCTAAGAAGCAGATGATTTCTGCACCCACACTTGTTTCTGAAAAAGAAAAAGAAAAAGAAAAAGAAAAAGAAAAGCCATAAGACAGAACTAGAAGAGGTGAAGTTGTAATGAGGAAAATCTCAATTAAACAACTGTTTCCCAAATTTGCTGACCTCATGGACACCACCACCACCTGCAGCACCCCCTCTTTTTGAAGACTTCACCTCGGTTGATATTGCAGATCCATCATCCTTCAAACTTTGGGCTCCTATTCGCCAACCAAAATGTTGATGAGAACCTGGACAAAATTGAATATTTTAGGCAGCTGTATAAAAACAATGTTATTCCATTACCCAAGATTGCCAACATAGAAAAAAGTTGGGTTGGGTTGGGTGTATGATGTGGCCAAGGAGAGGGAAGAGGTACTAACCATTTTCCACGGAATGGCCATTACGTCCGCTGCTTCCATGAGGTATGTCACCTTTCATTTCTCCCAGGGTAACTAGATGATTAGAGGAAAAGTAAGTCTACATAACTTCCCCAAAAGAAATGGACTCACTTAATGGAAATAAGAATATTAACTTGATTCTACAATATTATATTCTAAAATACCATCCACACTTTTAGGGTTCAGCGCGAGCCGAGCATCTCAGCAGCCACTTGAGCTCAACTGCTTAAAAAGCTCAGTTCAACCCATTTAGTAAACAAGCTGGGCTCAAGCTTTGGTATATCAGCTTGAAAGATCATAAGCTCAGCTCCTTTACATGAACAAGTTCTGATTTCAATCCCAAATTCCAGCTCAGCTTGAGATAAGCTCATATAGTTAAAAAAGAGTCCATAAGATTTTAAGTTCTGCATTAAAATACCAAGCATAAGCTTGAAATTTCTTGCTTGTTTAATAAATCTAGCCCAATTACCCATCTGACATGAGCTCAAGCTTGATCTCAATGCTCTTAAAGAAACCAACTCAAGCTTCATATTTTTGGGCTTGCCTTAGCTTGTTGACATCCCTACACACAAACACCAAGATATCCATGTACAAAAGCATCAATACCTTCAACAGAATCAGAAGGCAGCTGACTAGATTGCAATGCATGTGAACAGTGCTCCTTAGCTTGCGGAAAATCAGCACGACGGAGAGGAGCCCATACTCCACGATCAGGCCTGTCTTTATTCCTAGTACGTTTTTCATGCTTCTCACCAGTAGAACCCAAACTGTGCTTTTCTTTTTTTCCAAATCTATCATCTGACATCCTTTTTGAATCAACATCAGAACCAAATGAAGATGGTTCATTATTAGTGACATGACCATTCATACCCAACTGAGTGTTACTGGGACGGGGAGGTCGCTTAATATATTCCAAACCGATTGTTTGAGCTTTCTGTTGAGGCTGAGCTGCTGCAGAAGATTGTGATGCTTCGTTATTCAAAAGTATGCTTCTTATCAACCTTCCACCAGCCTCCCGACTCCGATTCTGCCCCAAAGCAGGTGAAGTGGATGAATTTGTAACAGGGGACACAGCATCCTGCTGTTGTGACATATACATTGAGACAGATCATCAAACTTTTCATTTAAATGATTCAAAAGTAATTTAGGAATTATGTCCTTAAGCTTTCTACGTATAAAAAGGGAAACTCCCAAAACAATAAAGTAACTATGAAACACAGCTACCATCCTATACTATCAGTGAAGTAAAAAGAACCAGAAAAATGGCATAAGTCTTACATGAGGAGCTTCTCTATCTTTTGGTTTTAACAACAGGATCTTTTTCTTTCCAGACTCAGAAGTCAAAGTAACCCCTGTCACCGGCGTATCAATGCTGCAGACTGCAATACAAGGGGGGAACAAACATGAAAAAAAAATGTGAATGATATGAAAGAAAGCCACAACCAAGGTATTTAACATGTCATTGAGTTGAGATCTAGTTAAATTAAAATATAATTCATTCCAAAATTCAAAGAGAATCCCTTCAACTAAAGCAAATTCCAATCAACATAGAAAGTGACAAACGACTTCCAGTAAAAAGATTATTGGATCACTTTTAAGGAAAATTGTAAAAAATATGCATTGTGTTTAAAATTATATATCTGAAAAGGCCATTAGTAGAAAAGAAATGTAAGGGGACTCGCAGCTTAATTATCCACTCAAGTTTCATATCCATCCAAGAGATAAAGAAGTTATATGAAACCTATGAAAACAAAAAACAAAAAACTAGTAATGCTGGTATCAATCATAGGTAAAGCAATAAATAATTCTCATGTAACAAAATTCCCACAGCCCCAGTTTCATTGTCTGCAATTTCTTTACCACTTGAAATTACTGATTTATCCTTTCGCCTTGACATTACGACAAAATTTGACTTGTCCTTGCGACTTGAAGATTTTGCACCATCCTTTAGAACATACTGGAAATCAAACAAGATATCTGAATGAGAAATGACAGACGTTCATGATTACTACACAAATTACACATTAAAAAAATAAAAAATAAAAAATAAATAAACACAGATCACTGACAAAAAAAAAAAAAAAAAAGAGGAAAGCAACCAGAATAAAATAATAGCATTCATTCCATATATATTACTGCTTAAAAAAAGGAAAATCTATAAAAGTTAAGCAACTTTTATGGCCATACAACCAGAAAATTGATTAACTACTTAAAATGAAAAGACATATCATGAGGAAATGAAAAAGGCAGTCTCTGCAAGTTGGGATAAACCTAAAGTGTGCTTTCTCCCTTAAGATGCCCTGGGAAGAGCAAGGCAAACTGAAGAATGACAAGCTCAGAATAGCACCAGCTAAGACATATTAGACTTCTAATTTTTGTACAATTGCAGAAGAAATAGTTGCACTTTTAACTCAAGACTTCAATCCAAAGTAAAAGTCCAAACAATAAGTTTGGACAATACAGAATAAAGGCCAGATGGCAGACCACCCTACTTGATGAGTCAAACTGATCCTACAGATGCTTGAATTCTAGAACCTTAAGTTAAAAAGATAAACTAAACTAATATGATCTGCATAATTTTTTTTAATAAACTAAAATAATAAGATCTGCATAAGTTGTGCCTTGTTTTCCTTCTTATTCTCTGCTGGAGTCTGAAGATACTGTTAACATCAGCAACCAGCCTTCTTTTATCTTTATCATCCCATCCTATGTCTAGCGGTTGTGCCCCCAAAAGAATTTTTTTTTTTAATATATATTTCTTTTTTCATTTAATATGAAAGAAACACTTGATACTCAACTAAAGGTAGGGCCTAGGGAGTCACAAATCAAAAGCAGATTTCCTTTTCCATATTAAAACTGTACTCGTTAAAGAATGACAGGCCTCCATCCACCAGAAGTGTAAAACTGATATTGCTTTTGATAGAGAATTATAACTGAAACCTTTGAATAGATTGGTAACTTAGTGTCAAGAGAAATTTCCAAGCTATAAATAATCTAGATGCACATAAAATGACATAAAATTATATAGCACACTCCACATCAACAAATAAATTATTCTTCAAACACACTTATTGCTCACACCCAACGAAGAAGGATATGCTCAAAAAAATTAAAAAAGCAATATGATAATTAGAAAATTATTGACTTAGGCACCTTTTTCTTCTCAGATGATCGCTTGGTAGCACTCACACCAGCCTTGCCTTTAGATGTGGCCCCAGATCTTCTGACCTTCCCTGTAGTGACTGACCTCTGTCATCAAGTAAAGGAAAAAAATGAAGAAAATTGAGATTGGCCATTCAAAGAGTCTATTTGTTTATTTGCTTGATTTACCAGAAATTTGATGCCAAATAAAACTTGAAAGCAAGCTGTAAAGGTTTCACAATTTAAAAGAAAATAAAAACAAAATTTTAACCCTAGAAGAATTTCAAGGAGATGGTAAGCCAGGCACATTATTTAATATCCTACCACAATAAATATATGCATCAAACTGGATTCTTGCTGCTGATTTTTATATTAAAAAAGGATACATAAATTCATGATAATAAATTCCATCCTTTCCAAATATGAAATCCCCAACCATAAACAACTAGCAAGTGAATACCTGTATTCCATTCTTGGCAGCTCGCTTCTGGCGCACAAATTCCATTAGGGGTGTAATAATCGGGATTTCTTTTGCAGCATCTGAAAATGAATAAAATGGGAGAACAAAATTATTTTATATTTAGGGAATAAAAAATCGTCTTCAACTATTTCTTGGTAAGGTTTCTCACAACATGAATTCATCATTTAATAGCTACATGATACAAATGCATATGGCAACTTACTAGATAGCTCTGCTTCCTTTCTTTCCAACTGGACCTCAGCACTAGGAAGATTCTCAACAGGTTTTGCAATCAGTTTGAGGAACTCCAGATAATCAGGATCTAGTTTCATAAATATATGGAGATTTAGTACAAGAGTCATCCTACACTATTATGTAAGCTATACACAATAATAATTGAACAAGCAAATCATTAGTAAGAACCTTTAAAAATGGTCCCTTCACGACCATCCCTTTTACTGCATGGCTTTGGGACACGCTGTGAAGGAGAATATTCAACTATTGCCTTAAGCTGAGTGCCTGAAATAAATATCACACTTTCAAGACAAGAAATTAAATAGAAGGAGCAACGGTCTCCTGAATTAGAAAAAAAAAATTGAAGTTGAACAATTTCATATGTATATAAGAGAAGTTTTTTGCAGATTTATTTTTTACTAAGAACAAAGGAAACCATCTTCTAAAATGAAAAAAAAAAAAAAATTAAAGTAATAAAAATTGTAAGAAAGTAAAAAAGTAACATTCAATTACCTTTCTCATTAACAAACACATGTCCATCAAAAAACTCAGCAAACTCAAAAACATCTTCTGGATTCTTGAAATCTATGTAGGCTCGAGAATACCTCTGATGTTTATGGCTGCAAAAGCATTTTTGCAGAAGGATATGTAAGAATGAAAATCCATTCTTGCAATCATGCAACTTTGTTAAGAGTTCTTGTCTGAATGTCCATTTCTTATTTTACTACCACACATTTATATAATCTCCTCAAGAAAGGTAACTAATTTCTCATGCTTGCCTCATGTTGCTAATACAAAAAGATCTAAAAATAAAAAAATAAAAAATATATATATATCTTTTTCTTTTGTTTTCCTTCACTTTTTCATTGAAGCAAAGAAACAGAAACAGAATATCACCGAAAACCACATCCCTAAGGAACATACTATCAAATAATGACAAACAAGGTAGCTCATAAGAAACCTACTAGCAGATTTTGCTTTCTCTCACTTGACCTACCTGTCTATTCAGCTACAAGAGAACAAACCTCAATTTAATCAAGACCTGAGCATATTCAGCTAACTAGCTGTTTGGTCTCAGTTTAGTGGAGTCTCGAAAACTAAGCGACAAAGAACTGCAACATACAGTGTCTTCAAGTCAATTAATTATGCTAAGAAAAACTACAATCTAGTTATCCAATTTCTTCAGGTTGGTGGCTGAACAAATTATTATAAAAAAAATCCAAAAAAAAAAAAAAAAAAAAAAAAAAGAAGGGTTCTTTCAATCACTTCTATACTTATGCACAAACAATCAACTAGCATTAGTTAAATGTTTGG